TCTTCTTTCTTTCACAGTTTTGCAGTTTTGGTGAAGAGTCTACCACGTTCATTTTTCAGCGCACCTGCACTTCCTTCTTCACTTTTTATTCTCATAATATATATATATACATTAAAAACTATATTTAAAAAATGTAGACGAGTGACAAACGGCTACACCTCCGCCAAAATTTAGGACTGACGACAGGTGCGAGGGCATCGGAGCAGAGATCCAAAGACCAACAGCTGCACAGAAGGCCTGCACAGAACTACAGCAGCACCAGAGCAGAGCGCGGTAAGTAACAGGAACCGTGGAGAGACTGGACTCGGCACATAACATCCCTTGCCGGACCACATTCATTAAAATCGGAGCTACAGAGCGACGCAACAGACGAATCGGCACAGAGCAGAGCTCGGGCGAATGCCGGCAGCAGTGCAAAATAGTAAGTCACCAAAGAAACTGCTGCTGCAACTACTGAAGTCTTCAGAACAACAGACACGAGACGAAGGACAGCAAGCACGCAAAGGGAGAGCTGCTAAAAAGAAAACAGCAACTGCGGAGACTGGGGTCGGGACAGAGTGTCCCTTGTGAGCGGAATTCGATCCAATCGGAGCGATGACGAGACAAATCGGCAGTTGCGCTCGGCCAAAAGCCGCCGTAGCGGTGCAAAAATGGAAGTCGCTGAGCAACTGCTGCAACTACTGAAGGTCTTCGAAAGAACGGAACAAAACGAAGGACGGCAAACACGGAAAGGGCTCCTTTCGCTACACTACTACACAGCATGCTAAATGTATCTGGATCTTTCAGAGGTCCGATACACTCACAATGTTCGATCGGTCGTCATGATGTATCGGGTCTATTATCCAGTTCAGATGCTTTTCTAGTATCGAGTAGTGGACCGAGCCCCAAAGTGTGCAGCAACTGCAGAGTACAGGAGTCACATTATCAGCATGCACACGAGCCACGACTCTGCCAGCCTGCAGCCAAATCAACAGTGGAGAGGGAAAACATCGTACCGATGACGACTGCTTCGAATGTTCGACATGAGATCAGATGCCAGGGGCAGAACCGCAAATCTATTATTACCATTGTCATCAACAATCTAAGCACGAAAAAAAAAAAAAAAAAAAAAAAAAAAAAAAAAAAAAAAAAAAAAAAAAAAAAAAAAAAAAAAAAAAAAAAAAAAAAAAACATGCAAACCGACTCATCACTGGAAAGAAATAAAATTCAAAAATCCATCCTTTCTCTGACACTATACTTTTCATCTTATCCGAAAGATAGATCTATCTTAGCCAAAAGGTGTGTCGGCTGACGGGCCTATAGCTCAGTTGGCACAACCATGATCTGTCAAACTACAGACCTGAGTTCGAACCCAGATGGGACAAAAATTCACAAAATTGATGCCACTCTCGAGTTACCTGGGCCAGTCAGTCAACAATGACATATTACTGCCGTCGCAATTTCACGGTAGACTCGATAAATGAAAAGGAGGGGGGGGAGGAATATCTATCCACAGAACTGAGTTGGAATCCAGATGGAACAAAAGTAATGACAGTCTAACCCTAGGCCAGTCAGTCGACAATGACATCTTACAGCCGTTGCCCTTTCACGATAGACTCGATAAATGAAAAGGAGGGAGTGCTACGCGCCATGCCATACTACCCATGAGCTACCGTTTTTTTTTTTTTTTTTTAATTCATGAGCTAACTCTCAAGTTCTACAACTCCAAGATGCACTTGTCAAAGAAATGAATAGAACAGAGTACTACACACCAATTGCTTTCCAGCAAAAACTGAAAACCGGAAGAAAAAGAGCGGGAGACAATACAACTTATCGCAAAGGGATAGGTTGTACACACCCATTGCTGGGGAGAAAAATGAAGATTCTCCTCCAGGCTTTCCTCGCATGCGCTCTTTTTTTTTTTTTTCGTTTTTTTTGTCTTTTTTCAAACATAGAAAGGCACTATTATTTTCATGGAAAGCAATTTTGACTCCAGCACGCAGCTATAATCCATTGTCTGCAAGTAATAAAAAAAAAAGAAAAAACTGCATGGGTGCATACAGAACAGATCCACAAGCTATGAGTTCGCTGCTCACTGTCAAATCCAACCGCCCCTTTGGGAAATGCTTCGGCTTGCACAAATAAACTAGAGCACACTCATTTCAACAAACAAAAAGAAAAAGGTATTCGGAATGCATCCATGGACATAAAACACTCGTCACTTCATCTGCACATTCAGACATCAGGCGTCAGGGGTGTTCGGGAGGAAAGACGGTCGAAGAAGTAGAGAGTAGAGATAGACTCACCCCCTTGTTATTCATTATCCAGAGCTTGTTAATCCCTGAGTCAACCAGCTGAAAAAAAAAAAAAAAAAAAAAAAAAAAAAAAAACACCAACGGGACATATGAATCGCATCAGTCGTCACTGGAGCATCACTCTGCATCACAAACACACTGTCTCTGCTCATTCACTTTTAACCAAACAACAGGACATATATATGTAACTTGAGGGCAGTGGTTGGTGGTCCCCACTACCTCAGCGCATCAGTTGTCGGGCAGTCTTTGATGCTTAACCGGAGGTTAAGATGGATAATCACTTTCAGTATCATCGGCTAGGGGACTCTGCAGACTGTAGAGAGTTCAGCCTCCTGATAAGTCGTCAAAATCCGACGAAACATCCTGTCACAGTCCCTCGTTTGTTGTCCTCTTCTCCCTCTCCGCCTACGGTTGCCGTTAATAAATTCACAGAGGCTACTCCCCGGGGGCGGGGAAGTAAAGGACTGAAGATGACGACAAGCGAATCTGCCTTGGTCCGTAGACTCTGTACTAAAGAGAGAAGCAAGCGCTGAAAAAAAAAAAAAAAAAAAAAAAAAAAGAATTAACAAAAAACAAAGATGGCTGTAGCATGCTGAGGCCGCTACACGGGCCCTGTTTTGGGCCCCGACGGTTGTTCCAGACCCCCAGGCCGCGCACCCATTTTTCGTGAGCGACCTGGAGGCCCACAGCCATATTCCAGGTCCAGCACACACTTGGTTCCATGTGTGCTGTCCTTTATTCAGCATTTATTATTTTTGCTGGATTTTGTCTGGACTATTTTCGTCTCTTTCTGCCTGTTCGGACCAGCGGATTTCAGTTTCGGCCATTGTAGGCCAGGTTCAGATTTGTCCGTATCTGGTCCGAACATCAGATCCGAGATTTGACCGGGCATTCGTCTGTTTGTGCCTGGCCCAGTCCTCAGGATGCTGCATCACCAAGGTTGCCTGGACGTCCGGTAGGGACCCAGGCAGGCCGTTTTCGGCCAGGATCACAGGATCAGGACTTGGGCCTGCGATCAGGACCATTGATCAGACATCAGATCCGACGGTCCTGATTGCAGACTGAGGACTGCTCAGCCAAGCCCAGCGATATATAGCTGGGCCAGTCCTCTACTTTGGACACATTCGGGCTGCAGCCTCATTTGGGCGTCACGCTGCTGGAGCAGCACCAGTTGGGGGAGAGCTGTGATAGAGCAGCGCAGGAGGAATAGAGGAGTAGGCTGGGGTGGAGATGTTTGGCGGATGCCATGTCCACGAGGGAGAGAGAGACTTACCTGGGCGCCGTAGCTGGAACTTCATACCGGTCATGGGACCGGCCTTCAGCAGCGACCTGCATCGGGAGTCGTCACCTTCGCTGGTCAGTATTTGTGGCATCGTCATCAGGAGCGAGCGAGAGAGGAGAGTTCTTCTTGTTCTCCTCCTCCTTCCTGATTGTTCTCCGATCCTCCATAGCCACTATTCTTCTTCTTCTTCTTCTCCTCTTCCTCCCTCTTTTCTTCTTCCTCTCCAGAGAGAGAGAGAGAGAGAGAGAGAGAGAGAGAGAGAGAGAGAGAGAGAGAGAGAGAGAGAGAGATTTCAGGCAGTGACTGTTTTGGGCCTATGTGCGCCCAGGATGTGATTCGACATTTTTGAGGACAGACATTGGTTGGAAATTTGACGGGGAGATTATGTCTTGTACAACTACGAGTTCTACTCTTTTCCTCTCTCCGCTCTCCATCTTCGTCTCCCCTTCCCCCTTCATCATCCGTGGTTTCTTCCACGTGTGTGTGCAAGGAGGGGCCTTTCTTCCGTGTATGATTCCCCTCCTTGCTGTGTGACATGTGTGATAATGATTGTGCGAGTCGAGTCTGGATCTGATGTGTCAGGTCATACCTTAGAGTCTTCCTCTGCGCTACATTGCATTATATCTTTTTGTTTCGCGTCCTGTTCATCATACTGGCGCTCCTTGGACATGTGCATCACTCATCTTCAGATGAGCATGCATCATGACAGTTTGCAGACGGCATCTCCTCAAGTAGAGTTTGTCGGATTTCCTTTCGGTCGTTGTCCTGGTTTTGTTTCTTGAACTCTCTTTTTCTTTCCGTGTGTTGTTGGGAAAAATGTACAAAGAGCATATTTACACACGGATTTTCTAGACTGAATTTGGCCACAATTGCATGTGTATGTCCTAAATAGACGTCCAAGTTTTGCAACATGTGAAATCAGATCGTGACACAGGACTTTCAGAGTAATGCATGACTACCATTTTCACCTGAATAAAGGGTACAGTCATTATCGCAGTATTTGGGCCGACTTTCAGTCTAAAATACAGCAATAATGACTACACGGCATACGTTCTGTATTAGAGAGGACGGTAGTCAAGTAGCCTTGGTGCCTGGAACAGGGCATGTTCACACACGGACGTTCTTAAATGCATATGACTGACACAGGGGCCAGATTCAGTCCAAGAGTCCCTGCTCCACATAGTGTATGTAGTGTGATCTTCCGTCACACACGTAAATTTCTGTCACTGTAGAATCCATTAAGGCACTCAGTCTCTCCTTTCACATATTGGCTTTAATCCTTGGGGTCGCGGCTTCAGCACAGCCCACTACCTCTCCTGAGGTTGCCGAGAAGCGCGTGCATGCACGGATGCAAGAGCATTACACATATATTATGCCTTATATACACGGATGAGCATTACACGCGTACGCATGCATGCACAGCGCAAAACATACATGCATAAACATTGTTGATGCATGCATACCATTCGCGCATGCATGAATGTCACACGTGCATGCATGCACGAATGTCACACGTGCATGCATGCATTAATGTTATGCATGGATGCAAGCATGAACGTCACATGCATGCCTGAAAGTCACATGTGGATGCATGCATAAATGTTACGCATGCATGCATGCATGAACTTCACACGGGCTGCATGAACATTACATATGCATGCATCATGAACGTTACATACGGATGCATGCATGAACGTAACGCGTGCATGCATGCATGAGGGTCACACATGCATGCCTGCATGAATGTTACGCACGCATGCGTGCATGAACTTCACACAGGCATGCATGAACGTTACATATACATGCATGCATGAACGATACATATACATGCATGCATGAACGTTACATACATATGC